AAACTTCGTGGAGGTCGTCATATATGCCAACATAAACTTCGTGGAGGTCGTCATATATGCCAACATAAACTTCGTGGAGGTCGTCATATATGCCAACATAAACTTCATGGAGGTCGTCATATATGCCAACATAAACTTCGTGGAGGTCGTCATATATGCCAACATAAACTGGAGGTCGCCAACATAAACTTCGTGGAGGTCGTCATATATGCCAACATAAAACTTCGTGGAGGTCGTCATATATGCCAACATAAACTTCGTGGAGGTCGTCATATATGCAACATAAACTTCGGGAGGTCGTCATATATGCCAGGAGGTCGTCATATATGCCAACATAAACTTCGTGGAGGTCGTCATATATGCCAACATAAACTTCGTGGAGGTCGTCATATATGCCAACATAAACTTCATGGAGGTCGTCATATATGCCAACATAAACTTCGTGGAGGTCGTCATATATGCAACATAAACTTCGTGGAGGTCGTCATATATGCCAACATAAACTTCGTGGAGGTCGTCATATATGCCAACATAAACTTCGTGGAGGTCGTCATATATGCCAACATAAATTCGTGGAGGTCGTCATATATGCAACATAAACTTCGTGAGGTCGTCATATTGCCAACATAAACTTCGTGGAGGTCGTCATAATGCCATAAACTTCGTGGAGGTCGTCATATATGCCAACATAAACTTCGTGGAGGTCGTCATATATGCCAACATAAACTTCGTGGAGGTGTCATATATGCCAACATAAACTTCGTGAGGTCGTCAATATGCAACATATGGAGGTCGTCATATATGCCAACATAAACTTCGTGGAGGTCGTCATATATGCCAACATAAACTTGAGGTCGTCATATATGCCAACATAAACTTCGTGGAGGTCGTCATATATGCCAACATAAACTTCGTGGAGGTCGTCATATATGCCAACATAAACTTCGTGGAGGTCGTCATATATGCAACATAAACTTCGTGGAGGTCGTCCATATATGCCAACATAAAACTTCGTGAGGTCGTCCTATTATGGTAAACTTCGTGGAGGTCGTCTTCTTCGTGGAGGTCGTCCAAGGAAGTTCATCTTGGTAATATTTGATTTAGGAATTAGATCTTTGGGAGAATGGTGTAGGCACGGTAATGATGCTGCATCTTTGTCGAGAGGCAGGAAGAATGACCCGTATTCGTGTTGAAAATGTAGAGAGGAATGAGAATGAATATTTTCACAATACGAGGATGTATTTGGCCCGTTTCGATTACGTTAGATATATGTTTTTTTAAAATCTTCACAACAAAAGAGATGTTATTTGACCGGTTTCGAATCTTCAACAGAAATAAAGGTTTTTTTTATCTCACAAAACAAGAGAGTATTGCCGTTTCGAACGTTTCAGCAGAAAATAAATGTTTTTTTAAATCTCACATACAGAGAATGTATTTGACCGGTTTCGATTTCGTCTTCACAGAATAAATGTTTTTTAAATCTTCACAATACAAGAGATGTATTTGACCGTTTGAGACCAACAGAAATAAATGTGTTAATAACAATCACAAGAAGATAGTTATTGACAAGTCTTCAAGATTTTACCTCACAATTTACTAGGCAGAATGGACCTATTCAACAGTATTAAAGTAAATGTTTTTTTTAACTAATCTTCACAATACAAGAGATGTATTTGACCCGCGCATATTCGTTCGTACGTATCTGAGGAGAAAATGTCCACAATAACTGTTTTTTTAAAAATCTTCACAATTACAAGAGAGTGTAGGTTTGCCGGTTTCGATTACGTCTTCATCAGAAATACACGTATTCCTGACTAAATGTATTCGAAACCGATCAAATACATCTCTTGTATTGTCAAGATATTCATTCTCATTCAAACCTCTCTACGCTGGGAAGAAGGTCGTGTGTATCGGGATATATGAACATATGAACCAATATAATGTAACGTTATTGCTGTTTTTAAAATAAAAAACAAACACTTTTTGCAATAATTTAATAAAACCAAAACACAGAAAACAATACACATTACACTAAAACATTTGGCAAAAAAAATTACATACATATTTGATTTTAGTGTAACTGATAAACGTAATACTTTTAAAATGTAACGGGTACATAATTTAAATATAAAAGACATCCATATACATCAATATTCTCTGGAATAGTCAAGCTATTATTTACAAAACATCTTTCAGAAATATACATGAGAGCAACACGCCAACGCAGAATTTTGATAATCAGTCGTGATACATCCGGTATTTGAAAACAATTTTCTCATTTAGTTTTCGAAATAGCACTCGGTTCCCGAAAACAAATTTATTATTAACTCAGCCTCGAATGCACTAAGTTTTGAAAACAAAATTGCCTCACTTATCGAATGCACTCGTTTCGAAAAACAATTTTTTTAACTTCAGGACTCGAATCACTCTCGGTTTTGAAAACATTTTTTTAAACTTCAGCCTCGAATGCACTCAGTTTCGAAAACAAAATTTTCATTCGAAGCCCTCGAAATGTACTCGGTTTCGGAAAAAACTCACTTTTCGGAATCAACTCGGTTTAAAAAAACAAAAATTTTCTTCATATCCATAAGCCTCGAGATTCACTCGGTTCGAAAGCAAGAAAATTTCTCACCAGCCCTGGAATGCACTCGGTTTTCCCAACAAAAAATTCTCATCTTTCGAATGCACTCGGATTTCCGCTAAACTAAGAATTTCTACACTCGGACTCGAATGCATTCGTTTCGAAACAATTTTGATAACTTTAAACCTGAAGCACTCGGTTTCGAAACAGTCAAAACTTCAGCCTCGAATGCACTCGTTTAAAAATTTTTTTTTTTTCATTTCAAGCCTCGAATGCAACTGGGTTTCGAAAGCAAGAGCTTTCAGATGCTCTGGCCCTTTGGAAAATTCGAACTCATATTTGAAAACCATGACGAAAGCAAAAGCGATGACGTCATCATTTGCCAATCGAAAAATAAAGGAAGTTTAAACAGCATTAAAATGTGAGAGGCATAATTGCTAGTTCAACGAAATAAATATATAAATATATTCTTTTATTCTATGCAAAAGGCTCCCCGCCCCGACAGCCTAAGTGACCCCGACAGCCTGACTTGGTGACTTAGGTATCCATGCCCTTGATGACCTGTCAGTCTATAGTGACCTCGGTAGCGCGGTTCTTGTTGACCTTGGGCAATGCTTACTGCCCCCTGCAAAGCGTAACCTCGGTAGCGCAGTTCATGTTTCTTGGTGACCTGGGCACATTACTGCCCCTTTGAGACCTTTAAACTGCCACAAGGTGACCTCTGCCCAGTCCTAAATGACCTGGTCATCCTGACGCTTGTTGACCATGGCAACCTGGCCCCCGACCTCTGCAACCCGACCTCTGGTAACTATGGCAACCTGGCCCCCGGCGACCTCTGCAACTCGACCTTTAGTAACCATGGCAACCTAAATGACCTCTTAAACCCCCGATTAGACGAGGCCTCTCCTTCTGCCATTCAAGGTCGCTTTCCTGACGAAGGTGATGATCAGCCAGACGCTCCCGGCCACCATGAGCACCAGGCCCAGCCCAGCGAAGACCAAGGAACCGTAGAGCCACCCGGACGCTGCGAAGGGAAAAAAGGCGGTTAGTTTGAATGTTTTTAGGTCCGTATCCCAGCTTGGTTTCAATATCTTGAAAAAAAGATAAAAAAATAACTGGTCTGAATGTTTTTAGATCTGTATCTTTGCTCTGATTTGAATATTTTGAAATCACCATGGAAAAAAGAGCATTAGGCGGAATACTTTGTCCAAATCTAAATTTGGTTTTAATATCTTAAAAGACCTGATGGAAAAAAAATAGTGTCTGAATGTTTTTAGGCCCGTAGTTTGCTCGGATTTGAGTATTTTATAATCCTGATGAAAAAAAAAAAATCCCAATAGGTGGATATTTTTGTCCATATCTAAATTTGGTTTTAATATCTTAAAGACCTGATGGAAAAAAAAATAGCTGTCAGAATGTTTTTAGGCCTGTAGTTTGCTCTGATTTGAGTATTTTAAAATCATGATGAAAAAAAAGCATTAGGTGGAATATTTTGAAGTCGGTATCAAATTTGATGATGATGATGATATGATCTATCTATATATATATCTCTATCTATCTATCTATCTATATATATAATATATATAATTAATTTTAAAAAGTATTTTCATAAACCTCTTTTGTGTTTCTCTTTCGCTAAAGGGGAAAGGGAGATCGTACTCACGAGGAACAGGCTGACAGGCGTGATCGCAGGTCCCTTGTTGTGGTCAGCAGAGGGCGCGTCTACGATAGGAGCGTCGACTTCCCCGGGCATGGTGCTGGCGTGACAGTGCTGGTCAGTGGTTCTCTCGGTCTCGGTGTGTAGGTCGTGGTGACGGAAAAAGTCCGGGTGGCGGTAACCTCGGTTGGCTGTGGTGGTGACCAGAAGCGTCTCGGTGGTTGTGGTGGTGGTCGTCTCTGTTGACGTGACGGTGACGGTGGCTGTGGTCGGGGCAGTGTCAGTTGCGCCGAATCCTGAGCTGTCTGTGACTGGAGGAGTGTCAGTGGTGTCTGTGGGCGGTGTGGTGTCCGTTGGGCGCTGGGCGGTTGACAAGTCGCTTTCTGGGGTCAGTTAAGGCAAAGAAGTAAAGCCATGTCGGAGTGAATGATGATGATGATGATGGTGGTGGTGGTGGTGTGTGATGATGGATGATGATGATGATGATGATGGTGATGATGATGATGATGGATGGTGGTGAATTGGTGATGGTGGTGGTGATGGATGGTGATGGTGATCATGATGATCAAGGTCATGGTGGTGACTATGATCATGGATATGATAAATAATAAAAAATAATAACAGTACTATGTCATACTAAAAAAAACTAACAATAATTCTAATTATGTCAATAACAATAAAAAACAACAATATTCCTCTTCCTCCTCTTCATCATCATTATCGCAATCCCAACAGCAACTATAACCAAAATAACAATAGTTATCAACTGGCCACAACTGACAGCCAAAAACCAGGACTTACTTTAGTATCCTGTGGGAATAAACCGCCTCTCATGAACACCGGCGGGAAGTCGTGGTCGGTTGTTCCATCGGTTGTTCCACCTGTTGTTCCATCGGTTGTTCCACCTGTTGTTCCATCGGTTGTTCCAACGGCTGTTCTACTCTGCGTCCGCGCTCTATTTTAGGTGAGCGGGAGGGAGTAAAAAGGTGTTTTTGTGTGTGGAATGATGGGGGTAAAATGGTAGTTTTGGTATGGAATGATGGTGGTATAATGGTATTTTTTGTGGTATAGCAGAGCAGGGGTAAAATGGTAGTTTATTTGTGGTATAAGATAGCGGGGGTAAAATGGTAGTTTTGGTATCGAATGATGGGGGTAAAATTATCTTTTGGGTATGGAACAACGGTTAAAACGGTGACTTTTGGTGTGGAATAAGCAGTTAAATGGTAGTTTCTGACATGGAATAAAAGGCTAAGTTTTAGTTTTGGTGTGGAAAAGGAGGAAGATGGTGAGTTTGGTGCAGTAGAGTAACACTTTGGTACAAAATAAAGAGAATGATGGTGAGTTTGGTGCAGCAGAGTAACACTTTGGTACAAAATAAAGAGAATGGTGATTTTAATTCGGTATAGGAAATGATGGTGAAGTTTTGGTGCAGCACTCTAACACTTTGGTACAAAATAAAGAGAATGGTGATTTTAATTCGGTATAGGAAATGAGATGATCTTGATACGGAATAAGCAATGTGATTGAAATGAGGAACCAGACAGAAGATTATGATAAAACATGTACGAAAAAAAACGAGATGCTGAACAAGATAATTATGTTAATTACGGAATAAGATGGTAATTATGGAACAAAGATTCCAAAGAACAAAATATGAAACATTTTGAAGCAGCGCAAGAAAAATTGAGATGCGGTTAAATGTAGTTCGCTTTAGATGGAGTTATGAGCATCATGCGATCTGAACAGGTGGGTTATGAACAGCTAATACAGTGGGATTCAGATGATTAAAAAAATAATTCAAACAGATTATGATATACGAAAATAAACTGAACAAGCAACTACATTATAAATCAGATTCCGAACAAACATTACATTAAAAGTAGTTGGGGGCAAACCTCTAACTAGGTTTACAAAAAAAAAAAAAAAAAAAAAAAAAAAAAAAATCCAAAATGACTTAGTTTATGACAGTTTTTAAACGGATAAAGATTCCCATAAAGTCCCATTTTGCAAAGCGACCAAACCATACAGTGAAACCTAAATCTCAGCTCAGATCTGTCGGCGGATAAGGTTCACCACCAAAATATAATCAACCGAACCACTATATAAACACCAAATCAAACCATTATAAACCCCAACGAAACACACAAACACGAACAAACAATCGAACAAACAATCAAACAAACAAACACGCACACGCACACACACAAACACTCAAAAAACAAACAAAAAAACAAACAAACAAAAAACGAACGAAACATGAATCGCGTTTCGAAACGGCTTCGAAGCTCGACCCGCTCTCCTATTCGCACCTCTTGGAGTCGATATCATCCAGTATCTTGCCGATGCTGGCGATGACAGGCACGGTGCGCTGGGGTTTAGGGTTGTCCTGCACGTCCTCGATGTAGTCGGAGTTTTGCAGGCCTAGGGCGATTTCCTGCGAAGGGGAAGGGAGGTGGGAGTTGGAGGGGGAGGGGGAGAAATAGGGAAGGGGGAGGGGTGGGAGTAAGGAAGAGGCGGGGAGTGAGAAAAGGAGGGAAGTGTGGAGACGTGTGGAAGGAGTGTGGAGTGGGGATGAGTGGGAAGTAAGGAAGTAGAGGTGTGGGAGTCGGGAAGGAAGAAATGAGGAGAGTGGGGAGGGGTAGGATGGATGGAAGTAAGGAAGGGGAAGTGAAAAGGAAGTGGTTGGGATGGGAGGGGGGTAAAATAGGAAGACAGGGAGGGGAGGGAGAGGGAGGGAGGGAGGGAGGGAGGAGGGAGGGAGAGAGAGAGGGAGAGGAGAGGAGAGGGAGAGAGAGCTTAAAACACGTACAAGCCACAGCAAAAAACAATAAAATAGAAAGCTATCCAATATATTGCTAAAAAAAAAAAGTCCAAGCTACCGGGCGAGGCAAAATGTGTTTCAGGCATTAATAAATATTTATCGCTTCTAGAGATTTTAATCTAAACCACTTCTAAAAAATAATAATGTTAATAATGGTAATGATAATAATAACTATAACAATAATAATAATAATGACATGCATACTAATAATAACAATAAAAATAACAACAATAATAATAACAATAACGACGACAACAATAATAAAAAAATAATAATACATAACAATAACGACAACAACAAATAAAATAATAATAACAACAACAATAATAAATCTTACATCCGGGGAATATTGAAGCTTCCTCCGACTTGTGGGTGTGAGAGACGGATCATCTAACCTAAAAAGAAATTTCAAAAAATGTTCATTTCATTTTAGCATTCATCCAAATTCCTCAAAATAAATGTCTTAAAAGGAGAAAAAATGTAGACGAAGAGGAGAATAAACATGGAAAATAGATGAAGATGAGAAGAAAATGAATAATCGGCCAAAAAATAGAAAAGAAAAAGAAAAAAAACAAACCAGAGAAAATTAAATATAGACAAAAAAAAGAAGAAAGAAAAGAAGAAAGAACAAACAGAAAGAAAAACAAATTCAAAATAAACGAAAAAAAAAAAAAATACGGAGAGGGGGAAATGTACCACGTGTCGCCATTCCCGCCAAATTTCCCGCCAAAATTCCCGTCGAGCTCGGGGCCGGGATCATGGCGAGAGTGATCGAGGCGCCGCATCTCCATGGCCATGTCGAACACATCTATGACGTCGAGATCGTCTGCGTCCCTTGCTCTCGGGGCTGGAAAGGCGAGAAAAAGGGTTATTAAATGTGTTTGATGTTTTTAAAGAGAAATATACAATGTTTGCGGGTTCGTTCAGAGATAGGTGGAGTGGGTGGGTGAAGGGATAGGTGGGTTGTGAGTGGGTGGATGGGTGGGAGGGGTGGGGTGGGTTGTAGAGGTCGATAAATACATATAAATAGATGGATATACTAATGAAATTGGAAAAAATTACCACCCCCTTTTTTGTAAATGGAAAATGGTTTTGCAAATATTTCTCACGTGGTTTTAACAAATCCAATTTATTCATGGCTCTGATTTGCCTTTTCGGGAAATGTTCGGATCAATGAAATGTCTTTTTTTTCATTAGTCATACATCTATATACCCGCATACATACATATAAATACAAACGCACACGTATACATATATAAAGTCATACAAGTTTTCACATATATCCACTGACCCGTTGGCCAAAAATGCCTTTATCAAGTGTTTTGTTAATTAAGACTTTCATCTAAAGCAAAGGCATAAACAAACTCACACTAATGCACTAAAATCACGAAGTAAACCGACCGTTTTTT